CAGAATCCGCAAAAACATTCAGAAAACGTGCATTTCTGCCATGCTTCTTGTATTACCGTAATGAGGTGCCAGAGCAGACGGCGGAGGTTGAAAGATGTGAATTGGGCGTACAAACGGAAAAAACGAGGAATCCAAATTTGCTGGTCGAATAAGGCCGGATTGGATATAAGGTATGGGTAAACAAACTCAAACTCAACATCAAAAATTTCTCAAACTCTAACCACAAACCCAATATTAACCCTGAATTTAGTCGTTTTCTTAGATTTAGTCACAAACTCGGTCCTAATATAATACGCTTGCCGAAAACAAATAAGTAGCTGTGTTACAGTAATGTCAATATTTGCCTGTAGGAGGTTGGGTAACTCATAAAATGTCAACTGAAATTCCGAAATGCGTTTTCGGTTCGAGAAGATTAATTCGGAAGGATTGTGAAACAAGTTAGTCTGCAACATAATTCTTTAATATTTCAGTTACCTCAGTATGCCGGCTTTCGAACGAACTTTCTTTTGGCTGCATGTAAAAACCACACTCGGCAAAAATGGGCTACTGATGTAGCATGAATTTTTCCCATTGATTTTTGATGCCCCTAAAGGTCTTATTATATTTTATGGAAAACATGCATAAGAATATTGATTCTTTTACTCATTTGGTAGATAATTACGTCTCCTCCCAATTTTTTACTTGAAGGAGGGACATAACTCGGGTTTAAAATTTTTTCCAATTGTGGGACTTTTATACACCGGGAAATAGCCGTTCATAAATTGTAATGTCGCTGCATTTAATAATGTGGCTTGTAAAGTTATCAATACGGCTCAAATCCACTGTTGACTTTTATGAACACTTTATAGTTCCCAGTAGAAAAATGTATGGTTTTCCGTACGCGGAAAATATACGGCTTGTTGTTTCGAAACCATCAATCCACGTGTAACGGCAGAGTGGGTTCAAATTTATTCGAAAATTAGAAAAAAGTTTTTGAAAAGCGACTTCTACTCTTCCTTCGAACAAAAAATTTAAAGAAGACGTAAGTATCTACCAAATGAGTAAAAAAATCAATATTCTTATGAATGTTTACCATAAAATATAATAAGACCTTTAGGGACATCAAAAATCAATGAGAAAAATTCATGCTACATCAGTAGCCCTTTTTTGCCGAGTGTGGTTTTTACATGCAGCCAAAAGAAAGTTCGTTCGAAAGCCGGCATACTGAGGTAACTGAAATATTAAAGAATTATGTTGCAGACTAACTTGTTTCACAATCCTTCCGAATTAATCTTCTCGAACCGAAAACGCATTTCGGAATTTCAGTTGACATTTCATGAGTTAGCTCACCTATTGCACATATCATATCATTATCGTGGGCGCTACTAAAAAGTAATTGGCGAAACGTCAGTACGATTATCTATACAGTGAGGCTATTAGAGCATTTTTCGTAACAGTTCGAAATATGGAATTGGAGGTCTCAAATGCCATGGCTTCTCTGCACTTTGGACAAAGAGACATTTTTACCCGCATGAGTACATGCGATAGACAGAGGCGGGCCTAGCACACAAAACGTTCACCGAAATTCCCCAATGCGCATTAAGGTAGAAGAGGTTACTAAGGATGATTTTGCCTGCTAGATATACATCGGTCTATTGCCAACGAAACAAGAAGAGACAGATTATTCACGAGGATGAGGTTTGATGTTGAATTATTGCCGAAAGTTGTATTTCAGTTTGCAAGCGTATTTTAGCACACTAAGTCAAATGGCATTCTTACGTAACTACAGTACGTCTCCTTCTAGGAGAATGTAGTTCGAAAGCGAAAAATAGGAGCGAAATATGCAAGTGTTAGGTATAATGAACAAGTTGGTAACGATCAAGAAATGGACACGAAAACCATTGGGCTTAGAGGTAGATTTCGGTAGAAGAGATAAAAATGTGGTTGGGTATGATTGGCTAATGATGGTTGATAAGCTGGAAGGCGAAATTCCAGTTCATTAAATATTCTCGACAATATTATTCTAGAATACTCAAAATGATCAGATGTAAGCGAAAACTGGTAAATCACTGGAAGCACTGTAACGGGTATAGAAATTTAATCAGCTGGGTGAACGCAAAAGGCTCGGTATGACCCATCCACAACCGATCGATTGAGATCACATTGGCGCAATCAACACGGGCGATTTTGAAATGTTTGCCCCTGCGTGATAGAACTCAAAAGGGTTCGTGGTGGGGCTGTTGTAGTGGCTTACGAACACTATCTACGCGAAAGCATACAAAAGAACATGTTAGCAAGTTAGGATCAATGTATGACTTATCTGCCGGAACGCGGAGAAGTATGACTCGGAGATTAGTCATGGTTTGGCGCAACTGTTGGACATATTCGGTGGCGTCCAGATCGACTAAACTTTGAGACAGACTGATAAAATCACCGGGAATCCATGGCATAGTGCCGTAAACAAGTTCAGCAATGGCGAACACAGCACACAAGATTTGGATATGGAGAAGTGTTCACTTACACATGCGTTAGTCTTGCCGAAACAAAACTAACTTATTTTTGAATAGAAAATAAAAATAGTCATATATCGATCGGGGAAAATCTTTTCCAGTTTGATCATTAACAGCTGCACTTTCCGGATGCTCTGGGCAGTACCTTTGTGAACGATTGGGCGATAAGGTAGGGCGTTAGATGCATTCATTTAGAACTCAACAATATTTCTACTGTATTGCAGAACTCATGACGCTTTGCTAAACGATATCATGCAAAATCTACCACAGTCACGTGTAACCATGTTAGATGATTATAAATTTGATAGACAGCGTCTCATCACCTATGGAAATGCTTTAAAAAATAACAGGTATTGCGTTTGATCACCGTTCGAATTTCCCTTAAAATGCCCAACTTCTGAAAGCTTACTATCCACGTCAACAGTTTGAGACGAAGTAAAAACTAAAAGAATGAAGGTCGATACATGTGAACACACAGTCCGACGCAACCATATTCCTGGAGAGGTGTTGCATGATGCATTCACACAACGATAGGATAGGACAAAAAATCATTACGGCTTTCAGTAAATTCACGCTACGGCTCAACGCTATGTGCAATAAAATTTCGAGCACAGTTTTTACTTTTACTTGATTAATGAGTTAAATCTATCTACTGGGCGTTTTCTTGTTACCCTTTAATTCATCATCAATAAATTTTCTCCTAGCTCATCTTTGTGTACTGTAGTGGAGCTGCTGAGACTGTTATTCCAAATGGTTCCATTCCATACGTTACGCCGCCCACCCTTTTATCATTCCACATGTGAAGCGGACTCGAGATTTTACGGGATTCTTTTGTCGAAGCCCTAAGTAGGCGGCGGATACGAAAGTTCGACCGTCGATTCCGACGATGTTGACTGTGTGTTACACAGCAAGATGCACCAGACACGGTGACTTGCGCGTGAACTAGTTTAAAGTGATAGTAAACTTACGCAGCACCTACCGCACTCTCTCTTTTACACTCCCCACCTGGACCCGGTGTCGAGACAGAGTCAAGAAGGGCGGAGGCGGGGGGCGCAAGTGACTAACACAGTCGGACCCGCACCTAGGCGTGCCACCACGGCCCCCTAGTCCACAACATACACTTGACCAGGATTTTTCACCAACCGCAACAACAACAACCCGACAGGAGGTTAGAAGGGCGGGGATGGGCAGCGGACATGCCAATCACCTGTATATTCAGCGGGAGTGCAAGCGCATCTGCCGGCAGGGAACCAGGTGTCAGGCAATTGCCACCGCATATCAGGCTGCGAGGGCCATGGTTTGCTGATACTGGCATATCACACGCTATCAGACATTTTAACCTAGAAGGGCGAAACGAAACTCTGCAACTAATTTGATGGTGTGGTATAGCCGGCGGTTGTCTACCGCAGGTTTTCGCGGATGCGCGTGTGGCCTAAAAAACCCATGCGGTGAATAAATGCGCGAGTGCAGTGTGGACAGTGGAGGCGGATGAGGCGAGTGTAGGTCAGGACTCTAGACAGTGGTTCATCAGTCTCTGTGTGACGGAATTGCAATTGACCGACCAGGCCGATGTGTGAGTCGAAAGTGCGATCGCAATGAGGACAGGTATAGACCAGGTACTCATCACTGGCTTTAACGGTGTTGGTGTTTGTTGATGTATCAGGATTTTGTGTAGGGTTGATGGGCATGACAGACGACACAACAGCAGACGATGAGGCGGTGGAGAGGGAGGAGGAGGATGGTAGGGGTGGTTCGGGAGGGCGGTCAACGTTAGTTGACGGCGTGGGAGGCGAGGGAGAGGTGAACAGAGAGACGACGGTTGATGCAGTCCGGGTGCTGCAGTTGGTCCGGAGATGTCCGACAAGTCCATTTGGCGCCTAGAATGTCTATTGGCATCGTGGACACGTTGGAGGCATTGGACGTTAAGTTTGAGGCGGCGGCGACGACGGCAGCAGTCGAGATTTGCGTGTCTCGTGTTTGGCTTTGGCGGCAGTGATGCGGTTGATTTCGAAGATTGCTGCGCCTGTCTTCACTGATCTCCCCATAGGTCACTCCCGGGCGAGGTCTTCCCAGTTTGCCGGGTTGATCTGCAGAGTCCCCAGGGAGGACTTTAGGAGCGTCCATATAAGGCCGGACTTTACCTCCTTGTCGGCGGAAACCCACCGCGACGTCTCCATAGAAAAGTCGCTTGGGGAGCAGCTCGTCGTCCGTATCTACGTGGTGGTCGCTCCAGCGTAGTTGCAGTTGCCTCAGTGTAACGTAGATGCTGAGGATTCTCGTCCTTTCTAGTATGTACGTCCGTGTCAGGGATCCGCTCCTGCCACCTCAACCTCAATATCAGCTGAGGTGGAAGTGGTTGTCTCTACGTGCCTGCTTCATGTACACCATACAGCAGCATCGGTAGGATGACAGCCTCATACCTCTTCAGTTTTCTGCAGAACTAAAGACCGTGACGGTTGCAAACTGTGTTTTGAAGACGACCGACTGGCCTTGGAAGTCCGGTGGTCCACTTCATCGTCGATTTTGGTGCTTCGGGAGAAGGTGCTGACCAGGAAGGCGAAGCTGTCCACCACTTGCAGTTTGGCGCCGTTCACGTGGATTTGGGGTGTGAAGTAGGCGGCATCGGGTGGCGGGTTGATGCATAATTACCATTTTCTCCGTGTTAATGACCAGGCCGAAGTTTTCGCAGGCGTTGTGGAAGAGGTACATGCCTCTTTGCATGTCTCTTTCAGTAGTTGCATTGAGAGCGCAGTCGTCGACGAAGAGGAGTTTATGGAAGGTAGTTGTGGATACACGCGACTGGAAGTGCATTTGTCGGTGGTGAAGGAATTTGCCGTCCGTCCTGTAGGTGGCAAGGATCGCGGGGAGTTCTTCACAAAAGGCATCCATTAGCATGGCTGAGGACGTAAGACTGAAGAGGGTAGGCGCGAGGACGCAGCCCTGCTTCACTATGTTGGTCACTGCGAATGCCTTTGAGACAGCTGCATTGTCCGTACTCCTTGCCATCATGCCATTGTGGAGCTGATGCACCATATGAGTGAATCATTTGAGACAGTCGAGCTTATGCATGATTTTCCACAGTCCTTCGTTATTCGCCGTATAGAAGGCTTTCGTCAGATCCACGACGGTAGAGAGGAGGTTGGTCCGAATCTCCTGACACTCCTCCTGCAGTTGGCGGGCGGCAAAGATAAGTTCGGTGGTCCCACGATGACGCTGGAGGCCGCAATGGCTTTCCGGCAGGAGACCGTGTTCCAAATGGTGATTTTTCTCCTACGTATATTCGGGCCTGCATTTGCGTGATTTCGGTACGCATGGTAACTCTCGGACGGTGAGCGAAGCCCACACCGGCTCTGCAGCGGTACGTCCCGTTGCTTCTGACACGTTCTTTGTGTACGGTAGAGGGTGCCAGAATGCTGGTGGTCCTTTTCTGTTTGTTTGCCGCGGGAGCGTGCGGAGGCAGAGGCGGACGAAGCTGTCTGGGTATGGATTCCTTGTCAGTTGGTCCCGAACATGCCTTATTTCCCGCACTCGACCTTCCGGTTCACTGCAATGCGTTTTTACCTTTAGAACGAGTGGTCCGGGTTTCAATTTTGCAAACTTCTGATTTAGGTTCATACGTTCTGACTCCTGTCTTGTTTTTGGCAAAAGGAATATTGTTCGATCAAAATAATCAATAACAGATTCGCCCAGTAGTGCCACCCACTGTGCCTTTGTGTGTAATGACCGCACCGTTCTTGTGCAGGTGCAGATGACAGTCGTTCATCAACAGTTATTTGCTTGCTAAAACGTTGCACAACGCTTCTGACCAAATTATTATTCACTGATGTTTTGCAATGTAGGCTATTTGGTGCCAGTTCTTCCCAAATACATTTGTGCAGAAAGCGTGGCCGCTCATATGTTGCTGCCTCTCGAGTCAAGAATGTGTTCAGTTTGTTTTGCTAACGTTAACTGAAAAGTCAATAAACAATTAAGGTCGACTTGGGAGAAATACTTTATAATGATATATATCTTAACTCATATAGCTTAAGCAAAATTCGAATTTGTCGCGGAGAAACACGTTATTGAATTCGAAAAATGTCATAATAAATCGTCTTGGTGTGTGCGAAATAATCCGTAGACAAATCCTCTGAAAACATTTTTACGTTGCACGAAAAATACTTCAGCCACCAAATAAATTTTCATTTTAATCAACATAATTCGACCCTCAAAATGAACTTGGCATCTTGCCAGATATTTGCAGCACCCGTTTCTGCTGACCTCCGGTTTGAAGAACGTATCTAACTTCGTGTAAATTGCTGGCCTCTGTAACCGCTTTTGCATCACTATTCGGCGGACGCTGAATGCATTTTGTAAATGATCACTTCTCACCTTAATAATTGCCTTTCCGTTGTTGTCGGGGATATTATATACAGTGGGTGGCCTAACTCATGAAATGTACCGAAATTTACGGATGATTGCTAATCCCTCGCAAACCGACACCAATCCATGGACCCAATATCTACGTTAATAAAGTACAACTTTAAGAGAATTTAAAGCATAACATGAATAATAAAGGCAATGTTGCGTTGTTTAGAAATGCCAATTTTTGAAAAGCGCAAAATCCCGAGAACATCAAAAGTGGTTTCAATTTAGTTAACCTCATTTTTTAATTTTCGAAACGTCCGCCTACGGCAAAACTGGGTGAATATGAAAGCACAAAGAGAATAACAGATAAAAATAATGTTTTAATGAAGTTTACATTTACACGTCCTTTAAGAATTAGGGTGATTGCAGGTATGACACCTTGATAACAGCATACATTCTGAGTATAGATCCCAAAACAGTTCTCTTGGATTCGTGGTATCCTTTAGTCTTTTGAATTAATTAAGATGCGGTTCAATTAGAATAGCGATATTACGCTTGATTTCGCCGACAGATACATCATGGGAACACAAGTTTTCATAAGGTCGCATGTTGAAGGGGCGATTAGTGCCAAATAATTCTAAATAGAATTGGCATGTGCAATCGGAAGTATACCATTTTGTGTTTATAAAGAGAACTTTTTTCCGTTAAATTAATTTTCACTTTTCGTTCGTTCAGGATAATGCTGAATTTCAGATCGGTCTTGAATTATCGACGAATACTTCCCGATTTTCACTCTTTTACTCCAATTGCCCATAAAGACAGATTCTGTAGTATGTGGCTGTTAAGAAATTGAAAAGAAGGTACTTTTGGAGGCATTTACCGAAGTAGTGAATGTTTAGGCTTACTTTTTCATTCAAGACGTCTTCTGGGTCACATCTGAAGACTCATCCAAACAGGAACCCTCATCGTCGAATAAATTACCTCTGTAAAGAGGGCTTTGATATTGCGTTCCGCCGACTAATGTCCGAGTACTTTAATTTTTTACAGTGAGGCCAAAAACAAATATTTGACATTGTCGGCCGTTTCTTTCACTTGGCTAAATTACACTGATATTTTTCCATCGCAAACGTAAGAACATGCCTCTTTCTTTATACTGCGGCCGTTTGAATTATTTTTGCTCAGAGGTCGAACCTCTTTCTTTCTCACCACGAGTTGCCGCCTCTTCATTCATGCAGATCACATTTTGTTAGGAAAATGTTTTCGGCGAAATTCGTGCATGTACACCGGGAGTTTTGGGCACCTTCTTAATAAGTAGACGCATTACTGAACTAGTGGATTTTGCTAGAGCCTCCCAGTGGTCGTAATGAAAAGAAGTAGGGCGTCCGTCAAGGAGCGTCAACATTGTATGACACAGCTACAGATGAAAACTATTCAAAAAGCGAATTGTAAGTTTATTCGTGAACTCCAAATTCGCCATGTGCTTTTGGTATTCGACGGATGGATTCTGAGATATTTGTCCCTAGTAAACATCTGTACATAAAACGCCTTGTCTGAAAGTTGTTATGCTAAATCAGCTTTAACTACATATATATGCTTCATACAATTATTATATGGTAAGTACAGTGCGTGACCGATCTCACGAAATGTTGGCCAAAATTCTGTAATGCGATTCTGATTAGGAAGGATTACTTAAACGGGGTTTTTAGACTGATTATCATGCAGTATAACCCAATGACCGTTCGGACTCGCCAAGATGTCGGCTTTTGAATGCATTTCTTTTTGACCTCCAGCAGAAACCACACTCGGCAAAAAATGACTACTTAAATCGCATGCATTTTCCCATAGATGTTCGATTGTCTTAAAAATGCAAATATATTTTGCAGAAAGCATGCATAAAAATATGCTTTCTTTCGCTATTTTGGTAGCAACTCACATTGTCTTCATAACTTATGCCCGAAGAAAGTGTATATTTAGGTTTTAAAAAAGTTTCCCAATTTCTGAATAATTTTCGGGTTGATCTGCTATTGCATCAGTGTTTACCAATTTCAGTCTGCAATCTGCATACTTTCCGCATAAGGAAAATCATATGTTCCTCTATGCCATTAAGAAAATAACACATAAAGTTCATAAAATTTTTCAGTGGATCTGGACTGTGTTGCATACTTCATGAGGAGTATTAGTAAAAGAACATGTGCGCTCTTGCATGCGTGGACATCGCACGGTCTTAAAAAACTCATAATTATAATCTTTTTTAAAACCTAAATATACACTTTCTTCGAGCATAAAATATGACGACAATGTGATGCCCTACCAAATGCGCAAAAGAAAACATATTTTATCCATGTTTTCTATAAAATATATTTGAATTTGTACGACCATCGAAAATCAGTGTGAAAAATGCATGCTAATTAATAAGCCACTTTTAAGTAGTCATTCTAAACGTCAGAATGTCAGCTTTGACCGTTCAAGTGACTAATAATGAGTGCATTCCCGGCTCTTTGAGATGAGTGAATAGAGCAAATATTGCTCGAAACAACAAATAACGTACCTTTTTGCATCCACATGGGTGACTATTTTCGTGAAATCTGGGAATGTAATAAACGGTTTTGTGGTCAAATTACTCTCTGAAACTGGCCGTTAAACGCCGGGTTGGGGGAATAAGAATTCGTTGCGAGACAATTCCGTTGTTTAAAGTCCTAAGTGCAAATCTACTTGAAATGCTTTGGTGCCCGCTTCACAGATCATAATCCCAAACAATGCCTTAGATTTAATTTTTCTGGAAGTGCACTATTGCATTTGGAAGCCTTTCCAGTTCTTGTGTTGCGTAATGTTAATTTAACAAGATTAGAGATAACACGCAGCTCCTCAATGGGGTTTATAGAAAGGGCTGGTGGACGGAAAATAGACCCACTTCAAGCGACCAGACGTTCCTATTTATATATCAATATGGTTAGCCGAATAAATACAGCTTTCCATCAAAACTGGTCCCCCTTGTAACGTCCCTTTGTTCTCTCTTCGTCATTTCAGTTTTTACAAATCGCAGGTCTCCCAAGGAATTTTTCAATTCTCTCTCAGCAAACGTGGAAAGAGAAAACAGTTGGCCGAATTTCATGACACAAGGCAACCCAAATCTTTACGTACCGGAGTAGGCAGTTCTTGACATGCTGCGATGTATACCCAAACCACTCTGACATTTCCCCTACTTCGACGTCGGTGATCCTCGGTGACATCAGGGTCCTTCGTCAATGACCGAATTATATTAAAACTAAACATGATTTCAAATCATATGGAGTGCTATTTATTATTTATAACTAATAACTGTTCTGTAGGCCGTCTTAATGTTACGTACATGATGTCGGGAAGAGAGAAAAGGGAAGGGTGCGCTTGGTTGCTCCGTAGCAGGTGCTTTGGATGGTATAGTTATCTGAAGTCCATTAAACAGCCCAGATGTTGGCATGCAGTATCCAATATATAAATCAGAGGGACATGGAGTCGGTCAGTTGGCCCTCGTTAAACTTGGTCTCCCTAAAGATGGCATAAGAAAAAATGAAGCATGGTTAAATAACAGACGATTCAAATGACCAATAACACTACAAATTCAGTGGGCCACTTGCCTAGTTAAAGTATTTTCGTATAATCAAGTAAAAACGCAAATCCTCACGATTGAAAGACACTCGTCAGGATTATTA